GGTGGGTGGTGATGACTAGCTGCCTTCCCTCTAGTCTTACACTACAAAATTAGGGGCGGCTAGCGCAGATAGCCCTCGTGTAGCTTTGCGCGAAATTCAGAACAATCGATACTCGTAATGGGCATAACATAGCCTTTGTGCTTAGCAACAAACAAAAAATACATAACATAGCCTTTGTGCTTAGCAACAAACAAAAAATACCAAGATAAACTTTGTTTTCAAACGACTCGCTATTGCAAAAATAGCTACTTCATCATCATATTATTATTATTTCTTATCTCCTGCTTTTTATTAGATTTAACTTTATCTTCATTTTTTATTATCATTAGTTTCATTGTGTTTCTGGGCTAGCGATTAAATTACGTGTTACGCTCTTTGGGTCATTTTGTGAGTTATATGGTTATCACTGTAACTGTACAGTAAAGAATTATCAGATCTATTTTCTCCGCTTTCTGTCACACTATTATTCAGTAGTTCCAATAGCCAAGATACTGTTTGGTTTTTCCTGAGCATGATGATGATATGTATGCAACATTATACATGTGGTATTGTTGCGTATCTGCTTGTTTGTTAATTTCCGGTAGAAATTCTTTCTGAGGAACTTCAGCGATACAAGTCCTTTCCTGATTGAATCAGTTTATTCTTTTTCGACACAAACTTTTAGTACACAGTAATTCCACAGTCAGTATGTTTTTTGTCACTTTAAACTTAACAACTTTTATAATACACGCTATAAATCACAGCGATTCACAATCTCAATAATTTTGCTATCTACGAGTGCAAAACACACACTAGCTCGAAACAGAATCATAAATTACCCGAAACTCACCGTAATTACTGTTCGCTTAACCCCTCTGGCTTTTCTCTGCCAAGCTTATATACTAACAAAGAGGCATCGCCAACATTCGAGGGGTTCCCCGATTATTCGAGAAATTCTCCACGCATGCTTCCAGTGTCACGTGACTTCCGCTGTCGTAACAGTATTTAGGACAGTTTTATTGGAAAATATAACTCAGTTGTAAATGACGGAGATAAGGGCAGTTAAACTAACCTTATTACCCATGTACATGTATGTAGTGGCTTTGTGTCAAAGACAATATAATTCTAACAATCTATCAAATATTAAATAGAGAAAAAAATTAACATAGTGAAAGGAGTCTCTGTATTCGGCAAGAATGACTAATACATAAGATTGTCTTCCTGATTTTCTCTCAGGAAGAAACAGTAACGAATATAATAGGTAGTTCGTTGTGTCAGAGATATCAGTTCTACATTTGTGTTATTCGGCAATGAATTATTATGGCAAGTATATACGTTGGATAGCTTGGTGAGGAACAAGTTATTGAAACACTTAACCACCGTTAAATGTAATCGTACATATATAGTTTATGTGGATTAATTTGATATCCGACAATCCAACCATTTCCTTTCTGAGCTGTTGTATCACCTAAAACTCGTATCTGTTTTCAATGCTTTATTATTTTGTTTACTTTTTCTGTCTTTTGGATTGGACGCAAGGTCCTCAGTAGGGTGATCCCTAGAATCAACTCCGACGTTATGAAAGGTATGGACAGCGAATAAAATCATAGTTAATAATTTTATGA